AATTGCCAGAGGACTAACATATCTGCATGAAGAATGCAGCACTCAGATCATTCACTGTGACATAAAGCCTCAGAACATTCTCCTGGATGACTCTTTCACGGCAAAAATCTCAGATTTTGGATTGGCAAAACTTTTGATTAACAGCAAGAGCCATACGCTGACAGGCATCAGGGGGACGAAAGGGTATGCGGCGCCAGAGTGGTTCAGGAGTACCCCTATCACGGTGAAGGTAGATGTGTATAGCTTCGGAGTTATGTTGCTAGAGATCATTTGTTGCAGAAGATGTGTTGAGCTTGAGATGGAGGAGGCAGCAATCTTGACAGAATGGGCATACGATTGCTACAGCGAAGGGAATCTGGGAAAGTTGGTGGAAAATGATGAAGAAGAAAGAAATGACATGGGGAGGGTGGAGATGCTGGTGAAGGTGGCAATGTGGTGTGTGCAAGATGAGCCATCACAAAGGCCTAAAATGAGAACGGTTACCATGATGCTTGAAGGTGCTCTCTTGGTCCCTGCTCCGCCATGTCCTTTCCTCTATAGTTTCAAGCCTAAAGATTCATCCATCATAAACCCCGAGTTTCCATGAATGGAAATTATAAATAACAAAGGTAGTTCTTTTATCAATATATACCTACATGTGACTTCCAAATAAAGGTAGCACTTCTGGGTTTTTCAGCTTTTCATGCTCTTGCTCAGCAAAACTGTTAATGCTCAAAGGTAGAATGGTATTTGCAATATAACTCTTAAGTTAGTGTTTGGTTGTATTTTTTTGTTAGTATAGTTCCTTCTTTATTATGTTTTGTTAGTATAGTTCCTTAAGTCCAGGAACCATGTCTTCAGTTATTTAAGTATATCATTAATGTATGGTGTTTGATGGATTTGGTGCGGTTGTTAGAACAGACAACTCTCAATGTTCTACTGTTGCCACTAGATTGCCTTTGATTTGTAATCTTTAAAATACAAATATGTGATGAATGAAATACAAGATAGAAAAATCTGAAACCTGAGCTCCTAGTAGCGAGCCACTCATTCCTCTCCATTTCTTGTTCTTTTTTTTTGCAAAATACCAGCAACCATGTAAACAAAAACACTCTCAATTCCTACAAGAAAGCAAATTAATATTGGCCTTATTTATGAAGAAAAGAAAATCTGTGAGTGGTCGTAAAACCAAAATGGGATTGGGGGAATGGAGATGAAGGGCAATGCCAGGAGGATCCCAAGAACATGAAGGGGAAAGCCACTCCACTAGAGCCTTTAGCATGTGTTTTCGTGAGTTTGTGGATGGATAATTTATGTTATATTCATTTGCAGAAATTGCAAAGCGACAGAGTACATTTACCGCAGTTAATCACAAAAAATTCCAATGCAAAGACCTAAAATGAGTATGAGGAGGAGACACATTTGCATTGTTTTTTGCGTGTCCCTTTAGCAGGATGGTATGGAATGCTGTTCTGCACCAACTTGGTGTCACTAGAAGACCACAACTATGCAATGAAGAAGCCAAATTTATTTTAGAAACTTGTAGGGGCAGGAGTATAAGAGGAAGTAAATTCAACTGGCTATTGCTTGCACTGTATATATGTTTTGGCAGGAGAGGAATCAGGGAGTTTTCCTGCAGAAAACGAAGGATCCGAAGCATGTTAATTGGACCATTACTCAAACGATTAACTTGGTGTCTAAAGTATGGTTATAGTATCAGTGTATATCCTGTTAATTCTTGATTCGTGGCCGATTTTCTTGAGAACTTTTCACTTGGGTATGCCCAAGGAATAGATGTAAACCCAATTTGGATTTTTTTTTTTTAAACGAAAGAAGCTAACTATTCTCCTTAAAAAATTGCCTTTATGAGGTTTTTACTTTGAGCAGTAGCATAAGAATAATTTTTTATATAATTTATATATTTTTTATTTTTTTTTATTTTTTATATTAATTATTATTATTAATTATTTATATTTATATTATTTTTTTATTTGACTTGTAAATTTTAATGACTTCGTGTAATAATCGTATCTCTCTTATAAAAAAGTACAAAAAAAAAAAAACTACTGAAAATAAAAGTGATATTAGCTAGGAACATGTTTTGATGTAAATAGTACTTTTAAAAAATATATATAAAAATTTAATTTGTTAAAATTTTACGATTCTATTTATGATCTTACGATTTGTGATCTTATTTACCTATTCTGATCTTTAAGTAAAATCCCGATTAGGACAACCTTACCAAAGTTGAGCTTACCTCTAATGGCCTAGTGCTCTGAGCTCATTCTGGCATGGAGCTTTGGTGGTTTAATAGCACCCAAAATGGCACGAAGGGGTATCCCATGCAGCAATGCTGGATACTGGAAACTTTGTCATCACAGGCAGGAATTCAAACAGCATATGAGAGAGCTTCCAATTGCTCGGATATTTCTCAGAGAAATGGAGAGAGACGTTTTTGAGCTGAAATCAAATTTTCATTTCAGTTTTCCAGTATTATTTGTACATTAGACAATTTAAATTTTGAAATTCAAAAAATTCAAGTTAAGGAGCTCTTTTACAACAATATTGTATCATCAAGATAATACACATCATCACATGGCTCCAACTAAAAGTATGACTAGAAAGGACACAAAAGAGTTTGGCTAGTTTCAGTTTAACCAAACTGAACTTGGGCAGCTTGGTGGCACTGATATACTGCTATTGCCACCTAAGCTACTTCACGTAACTTCCATCAGTCTTCCTTGACATCAAGGCTGCACATTCCAAGTTGTTCTCTCAGTAGCTCGAACCTGGATTTCTGCAACCCCTTTGTAAAAATGTCAGCTATCTGCCCCTCTGAATTGTAATAAACTAACTGAACTTCATTTTTGAATTTTTTTTTTGGAACCAATGAATTATTAACAGCTTTGCAACTCTTCATAGCAAACTCCTCCTGCATTATAATTCTCTCGACCTTCAATCTTGTAGCTTCTAAATAATTTGTAGGTTCTTCAATGACCATATTTCACCTTTCATAGATGTCAGCTTGTGTTCTAGTCCCTTTAATAGCAAAAACATCATTAGATTCATTGTCATTCTCTTGCTCAAATTCATCGTTCCCAAAATCAAATATTGGTTCATCATTTGCTACAAGAACCTGATCTGCAGCAACAATTTTTGAACTTTCCCAGTTCCAGGTTGCACTTTCATCAAATTCGTCACTTTTGCTCACATTAACAACACTAGCCTTCGGAGTAATTTCAATTTGCATCCATAGAATAGGAAAACTCTTTTCATTCATTCTAACAGTGAACATTTTTAAACCAGATTCATCTTCTATTTCACATATTTTGTCATGAAAATGCAAGACATAACCATGTTCAATCAATTAACCCACACTTATCAAGCTATAGTTAATATTAGGTACAAACAGTACATCATGGATGTATTTGATGCATGTTTGTGTCTCAACAACAGCTACTCCTTTGCCTTTGACCTCCATCAATTCTCCATTTCCAAGTTTGACTTTTGAATTGTATTTTCTGTCAAGGCTTTTGAATATGGCTGCATTTGGGGTCATGTGGTTTATACAACCACTATCAATCAACCAAGAGTCATTGCTTAAGATGGCTGCACTACAATCTCTAATCTTTGTAGCCATAAACAGATGCTCTTCTTCTTCAACAATTTCTGCAATTTTGGCTTGCTAAACCCGATCTAAACCTTCTTTGCAAACCCTTTCAACATGTTCAAATTGCTTGCACTTTTTGCATTGAAATCCAAGCCTAAACCAACAATATTTCTCGGAATGGCCTTTCTTTTTGTAATGGGAGCAAGGTGCATAGCTCTCCTTTTTGTTGTTTTAATAACCTTCCTTTCCTTGGTTTCTTTGATCACCGAGCTGCTTATTTTCATCATCTTTGGCTACAGCTTTATCTTTGTCAGTTGCCAAGTATGCTCCTTCAACATTGTTTTCAAGCCTCAAAGCCTTTCTTTGCTCCACGACTTGCAAAGCATTGACTAATTCATTCAAGGAGAATTGAGACAAATCTTTGGAATCCTCCAAGGATGAGATCTTATGAGATCTTATGCTCAAATTTCTTTGGTAGACTCACCAAAACCTTCTCAACCATTGCCTTATCAGACAGTTCTTTTCCCTTTGCAATCTTATTTTGTTCACAACCTTTGTCAGTCGGTTGGAGAACTCCTTCACCATTTCTGTATCCTTCATTCTAATGAGTGCAAACTCTCTTTTTAGATTGGGAACCTCCATTTGTCTTGCCTTGTTATCGCCTTGGAACTCCACTTTTAGCTTGTCTCAGGCCTCTTTAGTTGTCTCACAGGTCATGATTCTGTTGAACATTTCATTAGTCACTACTGAGTGAAGACAGGTCAAGGCTTTGTATCTCTTTGCCACCTTCTCTAAGTGTCTCTTAATTTGAGCAAGAGTAGCATTTGGAGGAAGAGGAGCTGGTTGCCGATTTGTCTCAACAACTTCCTAGAGTTCGAAAGCCCTTAGATATGCTTTCATCTTCACTACCCCAATTGTGTAGTTTTGGCTAGCAAAAACAAGGGTCTTTGCGGTGAAGCTGATGTTTGATTCCATTGCAATAAGGTTTTAGGTGTTTGGTGTATTTGGGTTTCACTCAAATCTCTCATAGTCCCTCAAGAACTCATAGCTCTGATACCATGTTCGGATATTTCTCAAAGAAATGAAGAGAAATGTTCTTGAGCTGAAATCAAATTTCCATTTCAGTTTTCAGTATTTGTACATTAGACAATTTAAATTTTGAAATTCAAAAAATTCAAGTTAAGGAGCTCTTTTACAACAATATTGTATCATCAAAATAATACACATCATCACATGGCTCCAACTAAAAATATGAGTAGAAAGGACACAAAAGAGTTTGGCTAGTTTCAATTTAACCAAATTGGACTTGGGTAGCTTGATGGCATTGATATACTGCTACTGCCACCCAAGCTACTTCACGTAACTTCTATCACCAATATCCAACAGACACAATGTTGCCAGGACAAGAACTAGGCCTAGACAGCATCCTTTCATCAGCCATCTCCGGAACAAGCTACAAGAAGCGAAGATTTCAGCTCCGTTTCACCTCTGAATTTCTAGTCTTCGAATTGCCAGAGGACTAACATATCTGCATGAAGAGTGCAGCACTCAGATCATTCACCGTGACATAAAGCCTCAGAACATTCTCTTGGATGACCCTTTCACAGCAAAGATCTCAGATTTTAGATTGGCAAAACTTTTGATTAACAGCAAGAGCCATACGCTGACTGGCATCAGGGGGACGAAAGGGTATGTGGTGCCGAAATGGTTCAGGAGTACCCCTGTCACGGTGAAGGTAGATGTGTATAGCTTCGGAGTTATGTTGTTAAAGATCATTTGTTGCAGAAGATGTGTTGAGTTTGAGATGGAGGAGGTAGCAATCCTGACAGAATAGGCATACAACTGCTTCAGCGAAGGGAATCTGGGGAAGTTGGTGGAAAATGATGAAGAAGAAAGAAATGATATGGGGAGGGTGGAGATGCTAGTGAAGGTGGCAATGTGATGTGTGCAAGATGAGCCATCACAAAGGCCTAAAAAGAGAACAGTTACCATGATGCTTGAAGGTGCTCTCTTGGTCCCTGCTCCTCCATGTCCTTTCCCATATAGTTTCAAGCCTCAAGGTTCATCCAACATAAACCCCGAGTTTCCATGAATGAAAATTATAAATAAAATAGGCAGTTCTTTTATCACTATATACCTACATGTGACTTCCAAATAAAGGTAGCACTTCTGGCATTTTTAGCTTTTCACTCTTGCTCAGCAAAACTATTAAATGCTCAAAGGAAGAATGGCATTTGCAATATAACTCTATGTTAGTGTTTTTTGTGAGTATAGTTCTTTCTTCTTTTTTTTTTAATGTTTTATTAGTATGGTTCCTTGGATCAAGGAACCATGTCTTTAGATATTTTGTATTTGTATATCATCAATGTATGGTGTTTGATCGATTAGGTAGAGTTGTTAGAACAAACAACACTTAATATTTTACTGTTGACACTAGATTGCGTTTGATTTATAATCTCTACAATACAAATCTGTGACGAATGACCTACAAGAGAGAAAAATCCCAGAACCTGAGCTCCTAGCAGCGAGCCCGTCTTCATCTCCATATCTTGTTCTTTTTCTACAAAATACCAGCAACCACATCAACAAAAACTCTCAATTCCTACAAGAAAGCAAATTGATATTGGCCTTATTAAGGAAGAAAAAGAAGATCTTTAAATAGTTGTAAAACTAAAATGGCATTGGGAAAGTGAAGGGCGTTGCCGGGAGGATCCCAAGAACATGAAGCGGGACGCCACTCCCCTAGAGTCTTTAGCATGTGTTTTCGTGAGTTGGTGGAATTTATGTTATATTCATCTGCAGAAATTGCAAAGCGACAGAGTGCATTTATTGCAGTTAAGCACAAAAAATTCCAATGCAAAGACCTAAAATGAGTATACGTGGAGGAGACACATTTGCATCGGTTTTTGCGTGCCCCTTTAGCAGAATGGTATGGAACGCTGTTTGTGCATAGACGTAAACCCAATTTAGATTTTTTTTTTTTTTCAACGAAAGAAGCTAACTATTCTCCCAAAAAAGTTGCCTATATGAGGTTTTTACTTTCAGCTGTAGTATAATAATAATTTTTTATATAATTTATAAATATTATTAAATATGCAAATATATTTAATATTATATATTTTAAATAAATAAAAAATTAACAATTTAAATAATATATAAAATTATATAAAAAATAATAAAAAAAAGTTCAATTCTAAATTTTTTTGGTTAAAATCCCATTTTGGTCCCTGAACTATTGTAGGACTTTTGATTTGGTCCCTAAATTTAAAAAATCCTTGATTTAATCCCTATTGCTTACCCTTTTTACCCCAATTTGGTCCTTTAGTTAAAAATCCGCCTACATGTTTCATTATTTGATGTGAAAAAGATGACATGTAAAATTATTTTAACACATAAGATGTAAAACATGGCAAAAATAATGATATGGCAAGGAAACACCATAAAAATTCCCTTCTTTTTTTTTCTTTCTTCCTTCGTTTTTTCTTTTTGCTAGGTTCTTCCTCTTCCTTTCCTTTCTCCTACTGTAAACCCTAACACCTGAAACCACTTTCAATTTTCCTCACCAAATCAATTCATCTTCTTCCCCTTGATTTTCCTCACCTCTTTATCTTCTATATCTGGTTGTTCATCGCCCATTGCTTACAAGCCTAACAGATCCAAGATCACTGCAAATTGAATCTCAAAATCTACCCAAATCCATTGTAATATGGCTCTTTTATGTAAGGGCAACAAAAACGATTGTTAAAAGCTTCTTCAAGGGAATGAAAAAAGTATTAAATTAATACCCAAAAAATAAAAAGACGAAAAACAAAACTTTTTAAAGCTCTGTTTGTTTCTTGGGAAAATAAAGGGAAAATGGGTACAAAAAGGAGACATGTGCAAAACCCAAGGGGAGAAGATGATAAAAGATTCAGTAGCAAAGAATGGCGAATATGAGGAAAACTCAAGCTAAGACTCAAACCTAGATATTCTTTATCAACCATCATGATTTCTCTCTCACCAAACAAGATTCAAGAAACAAAGTCTATTTCAAGATTTTAGATATAAGAGGAAAAAAAAAGAGATAAGTTGCTGGGTTCGAAGGAACCCAGCACCACTTGTTGGGTTTGAAGTTCTTGGCTCCGCTTCCTTGCTTCGCCTTGGGAATCTCAGATGGTTGGGAAAAGTATAATGGTTTTCATAAGGCAAAGGAAAGGAAGAAGACGAAGGAGACCCATATCTGGTGTTGGGGAAGGGAGAGAGAAAATGTAAGTATTTAGACTTTAGAGGTTGAAGATAAAGGTAATCTAGTCATTTTATTATGTTTAGAGATTATTTAGATAAGTTTTTTTTCCAAGTCATGTATTTTGCCATGTTATAATTCCATGTATTTTATTTATTAAAAATACATGCTCTTACCGTTAATTAACATGCCACATCAGCAAATATTTAATGGAAGGATCAAGTTGCGGTCAAAATGATAAATAGTAAGGACCAAATCAAGAATTTTTAAGTTTAAGAATCAAATCAAAAGTTCGTACAATAATTTAAAAACCAATATGAGATTTTAACCCTTTCTTTTTACTTTTGTATCATCCTTCATGATTTCGACGCATGGAGAGTACTACGTGAACGGTAAACATTTTTGGCTTCGTTGTAGCTTTTGCAGGGTTGTTTTTTTTTTCTTTTTTTGTGTATATATCAAAGTAGTCAATACCGTACCGGCATGCGTATCGATTTTGTTACTGGAACGGTACGTACCAGATACCGAAATTTTTCGCGTACCGTTTCGAATTTATCGTTATAAAAAAATTTATGAAAAATTTTCGGGAGAAGTTGAAGAAAAAAAACAAAAAAAGGACTCAATTGAAAAAATTAAAAAGCTGAGGATGAAATTTACTAAAATAAACTCATAAGCCCAGCCCAATATTGAGCAGCCCATCAAAACCCAAATTGAAGAAAACCCTAGTTTCCTCCTTTTAAAGGGAGAAGGAGGATGTGCGGCTGCCAAACCAAAAAAAAAAAAGAAAAAAAAAAAGAGAAAACAGAAAAACAAACTTGATTTTTCTCCTTTTGCTGATCCACCATCGCCACCATCACCTCCGTTCTTTCACCTCAGATCTTCACCATCCCCTTGCTGAGCATCACTCTCATTGCCATCACCCTCACCCTCACCAATCACCAAGCAGCCATAAAAAAAAAAGAAGAAACCAGAGAAGACGAAGCAGATCTAGCCGCAAGCCCCCTTCGGGACTCCGATCTTGACAATCTTCTTGCATCTCATCATCATCACAGCCTCCACTTTCATCACCGGTAATCACCAAAGCAGAAGGGTTCGACAGCCACCAGAAAAGGGGAGAAGACGAAGCAAACCAAAGCAA